GCAACGCCAGCAGCGCGGCCGGCTTCGCCGAGGCCTTCGTGGCACTGGACGTGGAGAGCCAGGCCCCGTGGGGGGCAGGGGGGAGACCACAGACCTTGGGCCCCTTCCCCTCCTGCTCCGGGAGACTCACCTGGGCCCCCCCTTGCCCCGGCAGCCCCCTGCCTGGGCAAGGTGGGGCCGGGAAGCGGGAGGCTCTTTGAACCCGCTCAGCCCCGTCCTCTGGCCTGCCCTGGCCACACCCTGGGCCCCCTGCCCGTCCCCGGGGAGCTGGGGCCACCATCTCCCAGCCGGACGGTTCTCGCCTCGCTTCGACCAAGCTCCCGAGCTCGCTGTTCTCCTTTTCGTTCCATCCCCAGACGGGAGGACACCGGGACGACTGACTTCTTATCGCTTGCTACCGAACCCAGCAAAGAGGGAAAAAACAAACTTAGCCCTTCAGTCCGCGGCATCGCTTTTCCTCCCCGATAACCCACCGCAGCCACCCCCTCCCGCTGCAACTGTAGAAACACGGAGAGAAAGGAGGCCTTGAATCTCTATCCACGCTCTGTTGAACCGACTACTGCCCCTTCCCCAGTCCCCAAGCCACCAGGCTCCGTGCCCCAGCAGGAAGCTCTCTGCCTCAGAAGAAACCTACTGCCAGGACGCTTGAAGATTTCAAAGCACCCATCTCCTACTCACGCAGAGCCATGGGAAGGCCGAACGCTGAGAACCCCTCCTGTGTCCCAAAAATCACGTCCAGGCAGCCCCAGTCCATCTCGTACGGTCTCTTCTCCGGACACGGCCCCGCGCCGATTCGTCTGCAAGCGCGGAAGAAAAACCCCAGCGTGAGCTCTCACTCACTAAGGTCTCTGGCTGCGGGACTTCTATCCTTTAGACCTTGCCCCTCCCTCCCCTCTCTATCGGGACCGCTACAAGAACACTGAGTCAGTCACCCCTGATGCACCACCACTTTCCCTTGCTCTACCTTGCGTACCTGCATGATTCCCGTTGGCTCCGGAGCCCTTAACCCGTGGAGATGCTCACCTGGAATGCCTGCAAGTGTCCCGTAGAAGGACACGGAAGAAGCAGAGCAAGGACAGAGACACAGACAGAAACAGACAGACAGAACGTATTGGCCAATACGAGAGAGCAACAAGAGAGAAACACACGAGAGGCAGCCAGCAACCTTACCACCTTGCGTCTCCCTCCTCGAGCCGAGCGTCTGCTGAGAAGGACACCGTGGTCCAGAGAAACCAGCACCACTGACAAACGGGAGAGCTCTTTCTCCCACAACCAAGGCAGCACCTCGGAAACCTCCGCTCGGACTCGCTGTCTCCGAAAACGTGACTTCCCTTCCTAGAACCGAGCGGGCCGTAAGCCGAGAGATTTCCAGACCCGACACTTATCTCCGTGACAGCGATGGCTGCTCCTCTCCCAGCCGGACGGTTCTCGCCTCGCTTCGACCAAGCTCCCGAGCTCGCTGTTCTCCTTTTCGTTCCATCCCCAGACGGGAGGACACCGGGACGACTGACTTCTTATCGCTTGCTACCGAACCCAGCAAAGAGGGAAAAAACAAACTTAGCCCTTCAGTCCGCAAGGACGCGGCATCGCTTTTCCTCCCCTATAACCCACCGCAGCCACCCCCTCCCGCTGCAACTGTAGAAACACGGAGAGAAAGGAGGCCTTGAATCTCTATCCACGCTCTGTTGAACCGACTACTGCCCCTTCCCCAGTCCCCAAGCCACCAGGCTCCGTGCCCCAGCAGGAAGCTCTCTGCCTCAGAAGAAACCTACTGCCAGGACGCTTGAAGATTTCAAAGCACCCATCTCCTACTCACGCAGAGCCATGGGAAGGCCGAACGCTGAGAACCCCTCCTGTGTCCCAAAAATCACGTCCAGGCAGCCCCAGTCCATCTCGTACGGTCTCTTCTCCGGACACGGCCCCGCGCCGATTCGTCTGCAAGCGCGGAAGAAAAACCCCAGCGTGAGCTCTCACTCACTAAGGTCTCTGGCTGCGGGACTTCTATCCTTTAGACCTTGCCCCTCCCTCCCCTCTCTATCGGGACCGCTACAAGAACACTGAGTCAGTCACCCCTGATGCACCACCACTTTCCCTTGCTCTACCTTGCGTACCTGCATGATTCCCGTTGGCTCCGGAGCCCTTAACCCGTGGAGATGCTCACCTGGAATGCCTGCAAGTGTCCCGTAGAAGGACACGGAAGAAGCAGAGCAAGGACAGAGACACAGACAGAAACAGACAGACAGAACGTATTGGCCAATACGGGAGAGCAACAAGAGAGAAACACACGAGAGGCAGCCAGAAACCTTACCACCTTGCGTCTCCCTCCTCGAGCCGAGCGTCTGCTGAGAAGGACACCGTGGTCCAGAGAAACCAGCACCACTGACAAACGGGAGAGCTCTTTCTCCCACAACCAAGGCAGCACCTCGGAAACCTGCGCTCGGACTCGCTGTCTCAGAAAACGTGACTTCCCTTCCTAGAACCGAGCGGGCCGTAAGCCGAGAGATTTCCAGACCCGACACTTATCTCCGTGACAGCGATGGCTGCTCCTCTCCCAGCCGGACGGTTCTCGCCTCGCTTCGACCAAGCTCCCGAGCTCGCTGTTCTCCTTTTCGTTCCATCCCCAGACGGGAGGACACCGGGACGACTGACTTCTTATCGCTTGCTACCGAACCCAGCAAAGAGGGAAAAAACAAACTTAGCCCTTCAGTCCGCGGCATCGCTTTTCCTCCCCGATAACCCACCGCAGCCACCCCCTCCCGCTGCAACTGTAGAAACACGGAGAGAAAGGAGGCCTTGAATCTCTATCCACGCTCTGTTGAACCGACTACTGCCCCTTCCCCAGTCCCCAAGCCACCAGGCTCCGTGCCCCAGCAGGAAGCTCTCTGCCTCAGAAGAAACCTACTGCCAGGACGCTTGAAGATTTCAAAGCACCCATCTCCTACTCACGCAGAGCCATGGGAAGGCCGAACGCTGAGAACCCCTCCTGTGTCCCAAAAATCACGTCCAGGCAGCCCCAGTCCATCTCGTACGGTCTCTTCTCCGGACACGGCCCCGCGCCGATTCGTCTGCAAGCGCGGAAGAAAAACCCCAGCGTGAGCTCTCACTCACTAAGGTCTCTGGCTGCGGGACTTCTATCCTTTAGACCTTGCCCCTCCCTCCCCTCTCTATCGGGACCGCTACAAGAACACTGAGTCAGTCACCCCTGATGCACCACCACTTTCCCTTGCTCTACCTTGCGTACCTGCATGATTCCCGTTGGCTCCGGAGCCCTTAACCCGTGGAGATGCTCACCTGGAATGCCTGCAAGTGTCCCGTAGAAGGACACGGAAGAAGCAGAGCAAGGACAGAGACACAGACAGAAACAGACAGACCGAACGTATTGGCCAATACGGGAGAGCAACAAGAGAGAAACACACGAGAGGCAGCCAGCAACCTTACCACCTTGCGTCTCCCTCCTCGAGCCGAGCGTCTGCTGAGAAGGACACTGTGGTCCAGAGAAACCAGCACCACTGACAAACGGGAGAGCTCTTTCTCCCACAACCAAGGCAGCACCTCGGAAACCTGCGCTCGGACTCGCTGTCTCAGAAAACGTGACTTCCCTTCCTAGAACCGAGCGGGCCGTAAGCCGAGAGATTTCCAGACCCGACACTTATCTCCGTGACAGCGATGGCTGCTCCTCTCCCAGCCGGACGGTTCTCGCCTCGCTTCGACCAAGCTCCCGAGCTCGCTGTTCTCCTTTTCGTTCCATCCCCAGACGGGAGGACACCGGGACGACTGACTTCTTATCGCTTGCTACCGAACCCAGCAAAGAGGGAAAAAACAAACTTAGCCCTTCAGTCCGCAAGGACGCGGCATCGCTTTTCCTCCCCTATAACCCACCGCAGCCACCCCCTCCCGCTGCAACTGTAGAAACACGGAGAGAAAGGAGGCCTTGAATCTCTATCCACGCTCTGTTGAACCGACTACTGCCCCTTCCCCAGTCCCCAAGCCACCAGGCTCCGTGCCCCAGCAGGAAGCTCTCTGCCTCAGAAGAAACCTACTGCCAGGACGCTTGAAGATTTCAAAGCACCCATCTCCTACTCACGCAGAGCCATGGGAAGGCCGAACGCTGAGAACCCCTCCTGTGTCCCAAAAATCACGTCCAGGCAGCTCCAGTCCATCTCGGACGGTCTCTTCTCCGGACACGGCCCCGCGCCGATTCGTCTGCAAGCGCGGAAGAAAAACCCCAGCGTGAGCTCTCACTCACTAAGGTCTCTGGCTGCGGGACTTCTATCCTTTAGACCTTGCCCCTCCCTCCCCTCTCTATCGGGACCGCTACAAGAACACTGAGTCAGTCACCCCTGATGCACCACCACTTTCCCTTGCTCTACCTTGCGTACCTGCATGATTCCCGTTGGCTCCGGAGCCCTTAACCCGTGGAGATGCTCACCTGGAATGCCTGCAAGTGTCCCGTAGAAGGACACGGAAGAAGCAGAGCAAGGACAGAGACACAGATAGAAACAGACAGACAGAACGTATTGGCCAATACGAGAGAGCAACAAGAGAGAAACACACGAGAGGCAGCCAGAAACCTTACCACCTTGCGTCTCCCTCCTCGAGCCGAGCGTCTGCTGAGAAGGACACCGTGGTCCAGAGAAACCAGCACCACTGACAAACGGGAGAGCTCTTTCTCCCACAACCAAGGCAGCACCTCGGAAACCTCCGCTCGGACTCGCTGTCTCAGAAAACGTGACTTCCCTTCCTAGAACCGAGCGGGCCTTAAGCCGAGAGATTTCCAGACCCGACACTTTTCTCCGTGACAGCGATGGGCAGGGCGTTCCCAGCCGGCCGGTTCCCGCCCCCGCCCCGCCTGCAGGGCGTTCCCAGCCGGCCGGTTCCTGCCCCTGCGGTGCCAGGGGCTGCCCGAGGAGCCCTGCTGGCCCATGGGAGCCCTGGCAACTGGCTGCCCGGGGGCCGGCCGGGGCCCTTTCCCGCACCCC